CCGCATCACGCCATTTTTGCAAGGATTCATGGACGTCTTCGTGTCAGTGGCAGCATCAGACACCTCGCGGGAGCAGGGCGGCCCTTCACGAAGCGCCCAGTAGAATTTGAGGAAGCGATTCTGCATCATGTAGAGGCCAATCCGCGTACACGCGCACATGATATGGGAGCGTCTCATACTACTGTTTGGCGGGTTCTCCATGACCAGCAACTACACCCATACCACCTTTTAAAAGTCCAAGCCATGGGTCCAGAAGACTATCTGCCGCGTCGACATTTTTGTCGTTGGTGGCTGCAGCAGGAGTTGAGGCAACCAAGCTTTGGTTGCTACGTTTTGTTCACTGACGAGTACTGTTTTACAAAGGACGGTTATTTTAATAGCCGTAACAGTCACTTTTGGGATGAAGAAAACCCTCATGCCATAGCCATACATAGAGACCAACATCAGTTTTCAATTAACATCTGGTGCGGCATTGTGGACGAGCATATCATCGGGCCATATTTGCTTCCACCACGTTTGGATGGGCATGCTTATGGTCGATTCTTACAGCATGAGCTACCGGAACTATTAGAAAATGTGCCACTGAACATAAGAGCCAACATGTGGTTTCAACACGATGGCGCTCCAGCCCACTTTTCTTTACAAGTGCGGCAGTATTTGGACGACAAATTTCCAAATAGGTGGATAGGCCGAGGTGGCCCCGTGCCTTGGCCTGCGCGGTCACCCGACCTAACCCCACTGGATTATTTTCTCTGGGGACATCTGAAAGCTTTAGTGTACGAAACTCCTGTTCCCAACCAACAAGAGCTACTGGGAAGAGTGATGGACGCGTCCGCACATGTTCAGGACATACCGGGAGTATGCCAGAGAGTTCGCCGATCATTGAACAATCGTGCACAGCTGTGTATTGAGCAAGGTGGAGGACACTTTGAGCAATTACTGTAGGTAAGCTGTTTCAAGAAATTGATCTTTTTTTTTGCTGCAGCCCAAACGGCATATTTCCGAACAGGGGTTTATAAGGCAAAATTGTTCATTTTGATGCCCTCTACAACCCCTATCATTTTGTCGCAATAATTATGGAACACCCTGTATATATAAAAAAGGCTGCAGTGCAGGTCTTCTGACACTTGCGAGAGTCACAGCAAGCTGATACGACAAATCCTTGTGGCTCCATAACTTAACTTGAAACGAATGTGGTCCCAGCAGAATATAGCAAAGAGCCACATAGCTACGAAATCTATTGTTTTGGGTAGAGTGCTCCAAAGATGTGCTCTGGATCCCAAGATCACTAATTCCAGAGAAATCAGATTTCTTTCTGTGGGGATTTTAAGAAAATAAAGCTTATGTCAACAAATCAAGCACTATATTCTAGAGTAAGTAGCTGAAAGGCAATGGTCGAAAAGTTTTTAATAATATTCCTCGCAAAATCTACCGAAAATTGAGCATTTATATGATATTTCACATACATAGCTCTCACTTTCCCTAGATGAATCAGATATAGTCCATTTAATTCTAGAAATACTAAAAAAACAAACCAGCTAGTTATAAAAATATCTCGAAAACTGTTAGCATCAGACACTTCTGAAAAAATAAACCTTTTTTGTTGTGGAAATACGAGAAAATAAGATTTTTCGGTCAGTTGTAACTGGGTAGCACACACAAAAAAGTTATGATAAGTTATTTACCGAAACAGTGCTGTAAGTGGCACGCTCTAGAAGTTTGGCCATAAAAAATAACGGATTGTTATTTCTCATACGAGAAAACCTCCCTACACCGAGTTTTATGCCAAAGTCTGAAATACTTATCTAGCAATAAGGAAAAATACAAAATAAAATTGTAACTTTGACACCCTGTATCTCGCAAACTATCAACTTTTGTACGTAGGTATGTTTGAGTCAATTTACATATTTTGGCCTGTAGTATCTCCAGTTTCGAGATTTCCCAACCTTTCGCAGACATATGTATTTGTAGCATTTTCGGTTATTACGCAATTGCGTATACAATAGGTACTCTCATCGCCTTCTCTCTCTTCCATCCTCGCTTTCTCTCCCACTGTTGCCTTTTTTCTCACAACTTTGCCTAGTTTCTGAGCCTGCATACCGGATAGGTGAACCAATTCTTGAAATGAAGGAGTAAAACGTTCGGAGTACCGAATGCAAGAAGAATACAAAATGTGTGGAAGTCTCGCCGTCGGCCAGCAGAGTCATCTCTAAAGATAAAGTCAACTTTCTGATTAGACGTTTAATGATAAGAAGAACACGGAGGGCATATTACTTTGCTGTATATGGATGAATTCACAAACTTGTCAAAGCAGACGTCAAAAGCTGTCAGAAATAATGATAGGGCACCTTTCCACACATGCATGCATTATCACTATGACATCATAATGACACTTTGTCGAACACACTGCGACATGTTATGATCACTCATAGTGGAAGAATCCAATCAGTTGGCGATCTTAGTAACGGTGGCCATAAGTATGGCGGTGAGGTGAATTATGTTTATGCCATAAGGTTTTCAGTAATCATCAAATAAAAAATGGCAGGATTTTCAGTCCCTCACAGAGATATCTATTGTTGAATTTTAAATAGTTACACATTATGATGTTGCTCTTATGAATTAGATGTAACCAAACGACCCAGTATCACAAATATTCCACTTGACTTCCATTTTCACGTAGATAAGATCATGTAGTAAAGGCGGTACCATTTTAAATATTTCAAGGCGAGATCTGCGACCTCACTGTTTGCCGCTGGCCGTAATTTCGAAGATTAAGAAAAGAAGGTCCCGTCAACTAATGGCAGAATTCCGGATTACCTGAAAACTGGTTTTGTAATGGCGGCGACCGGTCTATTCGTCTTGATACGGCTTAAGTGTCTCCAGCGTTTCGAACAAGTCCGCCTTTCCCATTCGATTTGGCAGTTGTCTCATTTTTTAAATGTATATAAAAGGATTTTTAGGTAATTTGTATACTTTCAAGATTAAAACAGATAAAGTTGTTTGCTTAATATACCTTATCGCTTTACAGCTGGAATAGCGTTTCTTCGTCTGAATACTAACTTACTATGTATGTGTAGTTCCTCTGTTTTTAGGTTCATACCACTACAATGTAGCTTATAGACACTTTTGTTTTATGTAAAATTATTTAAATACTAGATAGTGAAACCATTATAATCGTATGTATCTGGCTGTTTGACTCAATCTTTGAGTTAAATCAATAACGAAAATATAAACCGACAAAAAATAGTAGGTGACTACAGTAAACACAACGTAGTATGATACTGTTTAAAATCATCAATAATAGTAATTGAACCTTTCCCGGGACGTCATCAGCTACTGCAGCTAAACGAACCTATTGAAATATCGATTTTGGCGACCGTCAAAAAGGACTCTAAGGCTGATTTAGTTACCATAAAGTGCTATGCAAAAAAACCTTAGTACTAAAAGTTTGTCAGTTTTTTAATGAAAAATAATCGGCGAAGAGCTGTAAAATGAAATAATAAAACCTGAACAATTCGTATCACGTACAACAGGTCCAATATGCCACTCTTATTTCAGCATTAGCAATTATTGCCTCAATATACCCTTATCATGATTAACTCATCCGGACCACATGTTGCGTCTCCAAATGAGATCTCCCCCGTTAATAGGTAGAAGATAGACTAGTCAACAATAGCGCTTTAGCTCTGAGAATTCCCTTCATTGCTGTCGCATTGGCTCATTAAGTAACTCTAGTGTTGCAAAATGCAAACCCTTCCATCCACTACAAACTGATCTCAGCAGACCACTCCTCAAAGAATACATACTCGTATTTACCTAAACTACGATATAGCTTTGTACTTACCGCTATGGTAAGATTACTATGTATGTAATCGTGAACATCTCGAAAAGCCAGGAGTACTTGCGGATTCTAGAAAAATAAATACTATAAATATGGAAACTGGTAGTGTCAAAACAGATTTCTTTATATGTTTTAAACAATTCTATCACTTGTTATGAAACGGTAAAGAAGTAAGTATACATAGAGACACAAAAATTATTTGATATCCTTAGCTCGGAAAACACAACGTGACTACACGAGTTATCGAGCAAATAAAAACTATTTTATATTACGTATTAAAATGACTAGGAGTTTGAAAGAAGCTTAAAATCAAAATATGGAATTTTGCATTGTTTTCAAAAATGCATGTGTCAACAATAACTTCTGGGACAACTACTATGGTCTAATGTCGGCATCGATGTAGGGCAATATCAATAAAAGTGCAATCTTGCGCGAACAAAACTAGTGCAGGCTGATTGCCAATTCTCTGAAAACTTGTTTTACTGATTTATATATATTATATCTTTTCTTTCTACTCCCCGTTCCAGTCCACTAATTTTGAGGAGTAGAGGGATGTAGTAGAAGTTGAAGAAATGTTCCAACTTTCCAAGTAAAGCACCTTAGTGCAGAACACATTGCAATAATTTTCTCAGTGGAATGCGCGATGACATAGAAAAACGCACTAAAGTGCCCAGCAGAACACTCCAATAAGAAAAAGTTTGTAAATAGTTTAAAATTGACTACCAGTGGAAAACGGTATAGGATCATGCACTGACAAAGACACCATAGTCTCACGATCCATCAGACAGACAAATGTACAATACTTCCAACATGGGTGTTTTCTAAAATCTAAAGGTGGTCAATTATTTTAGTCCGCTTCAGAATTCCCCTACCCTCATAATGGATTTTAAGTAGATAATTGTAGTGCCCAAAGGCTACCAAGAATATGCTAGGTATTTGATTAGGTATGCCATTTTGGCAAGAAGGGATGCTTATGTGAGCCTATCCTTGATTATTATAATTTAACAAAAACAAATATTAAATATATAATAATCAATTAGAGCTACCAATCCCCAAGACAGCATGTTGCACTTTATGAAGGATCCTTCCGTACGCCAATGTGTATCAATATTTACTTTTGCTGCCAAAATTCAAAAGGAACAGTCCAAAACAGTGCGAACGATTACCTACTGTCTCACCTATCGAAGGTTACGTCACATTGTTACATGTAATTCAGTTGCTAGCTTGATGCTCTTGATTGTTCTTTACGGGAAAAGATGATAATTTATTCAATCAATTTAAAAATAAGCGTGTGTCGTGTGTCTGACATTCGTCTGGATGTTTTGGATCTCCAAAGGAAGTTGTATGCCCGTGTAAAGCAACAGTAAGTTTTTTATTTGAATGTACCTCAATTTATTCACCTGATTCGCCGCCGAACATCCTGTTTATTGACTCATAAATAGTGGTTCCCATGTGACAAAATAAATTTGTGTAATTTGGCAGATGTCTAGCATAAGATCCAAATGGTAAAAAATGTGTTTTAGAGTAGTTAATGCTTAAATTTCTACTGTTAAAAAACCACCGAATAATTTTGATAAAATCATTTTCAATTACATTTTTCAGATCAGACCAGTCAGTGGCTTCATATAATATTGCAGTATCATCTGCAAAACTAGTTATTTTGCCAACACAATTAATTTGGAAAATATCATTTAAATATATATTGAATAACAGCGGACCTAAGACGTTCCTTGTGGGATACCACACTTAATATACATTTCTTTACTAAATGATCCTGATATCTGCACAGATTGAGGGCGATTTGACAAGTAACTTTCGATCAGTGAGTACGCGTTTCCTCTGAAACCAATTCTCTCCAATGCTTCTAATAATAATTTGTGATTAACTGTGTCGAAAGCTTTCTTTAAATCAACAAAAATGCAGATTGAAGGGATTCTGTTATCAATATTTTGATGTATTTGATTTACAATTTTAGTTATTGCGTCCGATGTAGTCTTCCCTTCTGTAAATCCATATTGATTTTCACTTAAAATTCTGAATTTTGTGAGGTATCGAATCATTCTAGTAGATAAAACTTTTTCAAAAACCTTTGCTACACTGGATATTATTGATATTGGTCTATAGTTGTTAACATCTGTTTTTGTTCCTGATTTATGTATCGGTATTATATTACCTTTTTTGAAAATTGAGGGTTATATGCCAGATTCAAAGCATTTGTTAATTAGGTAAGTGAGTGGTTCTGTTATGTCCTCGGCTATAATTTTCAAATGCTCGCTTTTAATACCATCGAACCCAGGACTTTTCCGATTTTTTAAGGACATAACAGTGGTGTATACTTCACATTGCTCGACTTTATCCAAAATAAATGAGTTCAAAGTTCTTCTTGGAGGCTGAGTATTTTGTAAATTTGCTTGTATATTACTTGCTAAATTTTCGCCTATGTCAGTAAAGAATTGTACAAATTCATCGCATATCTGTTGAGTATTTTTTAATACTGTTCCCGATGTTGTATTTAACTCAGTGACACACTCTTTAACTTTTGTTTTCCCAGTAATCTCATCAATAGTTGTCCAAAGCCGCTTAGGATCATTTAAGTTATTATTCAATTTATTTAGGTAATGTTTTCGTTTGGTTTGCCTTACAAGCTCTATAAATTTATTTTTATATTGGTTGTAGCAGTCGGTATTCTCTGTAGTTGGCGTTAGTTTCATTACATTATATAGTCTTTCTTTTTCTATTGCCGATGTTATTAATCCATTGGTAATCCAGGCATTTCTGCTTTTCTCTTTGTGACTAATTATTACTTTATTGGTACTAATATCTATTAGTTTTTTATTTTCTCTATGAACAGTTCCGTTGCTTTGTCTATATTATTTATAGAGTATAATTGTTCCCAGGATTCTTGTTTGACATTTGATATTTTAGTTTTGAATTGTCGACAAAAAATTTGTAATTTTCCTGGTTGTTACTAACGGTAGGGATGTTAGAATGTTTTTCATTTGAAGATATCAGTAAAATGGTGGAGAAGTGGTCAGTAATATCGCTTTCTAGGATTATTGGTAAACAAGTAATTTTGTTGGATAGGCCTTTCACAAAGCTGTGATCTATACATGTGCCACTGATGGACCTTGTAGGTAGGTTTATATAGGACAGAAATCCGTTACTTGATAGGATATTCAATTATTCATTTGTGATGGGATCATCGTCCAAAATATTTATATTGACATCTCCCAAGAAAATATGTTGCTTTAAATAAACTTTATTTTGATTTTGAAAAAAAAATTCGAGATTCTTTAAAAACTCGTGGGGTTCTGAACATGGCGGACGATAAATTGCAGATACCTCAATTTTGTTATGGTTAATTTGGATCATTATGTTTAAAATTTTGATTCCAACGGTGAAAGTGAATGTATCATGATTATATTGCAGTTTATTTCTTACAAAAACTCACCCCATCGTTTTGGTTATAAGTGCCAAAGTTATACAGCGTGTCATATCCCTGCTGATTGAAGCAAGAAATATCAGCCACTTGCCACGTTTCAGTTAAAACTATTAGATCAAAATTGTACCATATTTGGTCGAGTAGTATTTTTAAGTAATCAATGTTGTGTTTTATACTCCTTATGTTCATATTAAAAATTCGAAATTTTGCATCAGAATTTTGTGTACATAAATTAAGTTCATCGACGTTTTGTGCTATATTTGTTGCAATACTTGGAATTTGGAAATCATTAATGTATTTATTTACTGACATTTTTAGGTCCTCTTTAGAGATAGGAGTAGTAAAAGATGAACTTGAATTTTAAAAAAGTATCCTTAAGTTTTGTTGTTCCTGATAATATTTGTACGATGGACAGTTTTTGTCGGTAGGTGAGTGGTTAATATTATAATTTTTTTTATATCTTTCATTTCCATATCTACAGTTGCAGCATTCTATTGATACATGCTTACAATTTTCTTCTTCGTGACCGTTGCCACAGTTGGCACATATCTTCTCATTCCTGCAATTCTTTTCTGTATGATTAAAACGGTAGCATTTTCTACACTGAGAAATGTCATTATTTTGATATACTGTCAAACATTGCCATCCCAGAAGTATTCTTCTATTATTGTCTTCGAAGATTTTTTTGAATAGCTTTCCAGAAGTTTCCGCGTAGATAGTGTAATTGTTTCTTGATGGAAAATATTTGATAAACTTTACTTGTATGTCTCCACTCTGAATCATATAATTCTGATGTATAAGATCTTCTTCAATTTGCTTTTCATTCGGTTTCTCACTACTTTTATAATTTATTATTTTAATTTTTGGATTTAACATTTTCGGCTCAGTAACTTGGTATTTTTCATTTTTTTTAAATGAAATGAAAAGAATACACTATCGGCGCGCTACCCCCGCGCTGCGATTCATATGAAAAAAAAAACACTTATTTGCTACATTTACTGTACCGCTAAACATTTAAACTTACCACATTGATAGATACTAAATAAAGTGCTTAGATTGTCGTACCTCTGCACTTTTTGTCGGGACTCTATACACTGCCTAAGGCAATGTCAATCAAAGAACTATAAATTTGGTACTAATGTAGCATTTCAGAAGTTTAGTGGTTGCATTTTTTAATCAAAACAATATCTTTTATCAGGTTAAAGAAATTAGAAAAACTGCGAATTTCAAGATAATCCGTACCTCAATCGTTTCTTGAGCCTCCACAGAGTTTCAACATTTTTTTTATTTTTCTACTATGTATTTACTCGTATATAATTTCTGTTAACAAACTGTCCGGGGTCAAAGCTCAATCTTGGTGTACAAGTCGAACGCATTACTCTGAGAACCCTTAAAAGTTTTGGTTTGATGTCTGTCTACTGTAGATGTAGAAACAAAAAGCCTATAAAAAAATTGGGAATTGGTATAGAAATTATTCTCGTATTTTTCCTTGCACTTTTCAACCTTTGGTTTTCAATTCGACGAATAATAAGGATATTGGAAAAATGTATTCTGGTAGAACATGCGGTATTTTAAAGTTACAAGGCCTGTCTCAGGTCTTTGTGTTTTGTTGTTCGTCATCTAACAATGTTTCCGTTTCTTTTAAGTGGCATCCTATAGTGTGTTGTGCTAGGTGAGTTTTTGAACAGTATATTGCATGCATTATTAATGGTTGCTTTGAAAGTAGTAATGGTTACCAGAAGGTAAGGGAGGATTGTATGAATTAGATCTTAGAAACCCTGAAACACATTTGAACTCCCCTCACCAATAAAAATGAGAGAGGTCACAAATAAATTGTACCTAGATGATGAAACAGTCGTAAGCTACTTGCGAGTAAGTAATCACGAAAAATTTCGAAAATGAGATATGTTTTTGGATACTACCTAGAACGTACACACTCATTTCCGTCGGTTTATAATAAAATTTTGACTACTATTCACCAGGAGCGAAAAAGCTTTCTAGTTTTTGACAATTGATTAAGTGGTGGCGGAGATACGGGCGAAAAAACGAAAAAAATAAAAAAACGGTCAAACTTCGTGTTTTGGTAAATACTTCTGTCGGTCTGTCTGTCTCTTTGTCCGCTCCTCCTTGGACCGTCTCGGATTTTGATGAAATTCTCACACAAAATCTCTCCGCGTCTATCAGGCTTACTTTACGCATATATTTGCCCTTAATACTTATACAGGGTGTAAACGTTATGATAGTCATTATTTAAATGGGTGATAGAGGGGGTTAAGGCCCGTATCGTCAGTCGTCCCTACAATTTTAGGGCGCGTTTATGGCCTCCTTGATTGTCATCCTCCTTTCTCTCCTTCAAAAATTTCTATAGATTATATAGATTAACACTTGTCCCGTGTCAGCGTCAGCGCTCTCCTATTGTGAAGATATGTTTTCTTTTTAAATTGTAGGAAATTTCAGGCTGATAAAACATGATATAACTCAAAAGCAAGCACAATTTGATGCAAATAGATGTTTGTGACATAACCTCAAAATAGAGTTCTGCCACGGAGAAGCGGAAAACTATGACAATCAAGGAGGCCATAAAGGCGCCCTACAATTGTAGGGACGACTGACGATACGGGCCTAAAAGAAGCAAAAAGTTTCATATAACATGTGGATCAAAACTGCAAGGCCTGCACTCGTTGTACATGGTACGGATAAAGCAAATTTTCCCGTAGGATTCTAGGGACTATGGTATGCGATAGTCCTACGCGGCGGCCTAATTCCCGAGTGCTGATATCCGCATTGATTTCCACGATATTTAAAATTTGTTCCTCCTGCTTTACAGTAACCTGTCTTTCTGGAGTGCGAATATTAGTGGGCTGAACACTTCCTGTATCTCGAAGTCTTTGGTATACTTGCACAAATGTCCTGTCTGAGAGTACCCGTTGGCGAAATCTGTCGCGATAAATTTGAGCTGCAAGATTTGAATTCTGACGAGCTTCACCGTAAACTAACAACATGTCGGCGAACTCTTGACTCGAGAAGATTGTAAATCAAGGCGGCGACGTACGCGAACAAAAACAAAACAACAGACTAACCACTGTTACCGTTTGCTGGTTCGATAAGAGTGATGATGACCGACGCGCTGTTGTCACGTGTGTTTTAAATATTCAATTTAATGAAACTTACTTACTGACTACAAATTTTGGCTTAACTTAGAAAAACTTAATGCCATTTATTTGTTAATTAGCCAATGTAAAAACGTTTCAGATTAGATTATAAAACTTAGTAAGATTGTGGTAATTGTGGTCGATATAAAGCACTTAAAGTTGTAAACTATAAAGCCATTAAGACAAAAATCTATTGACTTAAGGACCATCGGTCATATGAACTGTTTGACGTGTCTTGACCCCCCTATTACCCATTTCAATAATGACTACCATAACGTTTACACCCTGTATATAATCATAGGAGTATTTATATACGTATATCTGCTGCCAGGTGAATATCCACTCCACGAATTTGCTACCTGAACAAGTGAGAAAAATTCAACGACGTCCGGCGATGTAACAATGGAGAAATTTCGTGATATTCAGAATCGCATAAGTAATGACATACCAGCAAAAAATGGACTAAAAATAATCAGCCAGTGAAAAAATTATTGAAATCGGCCAATAAATGACAGAGAAATTAAGACTTAAATTTGGCGCACTATAGCGCGAAATCGTTGCTGCCGTTCGTTCGCGTGTGACGTCACACTTCTCTAGTGCCCAGCGTCTGGTCACGTGGGTGTTCGACAGCGTCTGTGCGTTTAGTCATTAGTCTATAGACAATTCATAAGGCACACCTGTGCGCTCGGATACGTGGTTTCCAGTTGATTGAGTACTGCGTAAGTTCATACCATTTTTGACGCCGCTCAGAGAACAAATATTTATTAGGGGTTGTAATTATGGTAATTATTTCACGCATAACAGATCGTATATGCAGTCAAATAATTAAACAAATGGGGGCGAAAGACGTTTGTGTCTATGCATGTGTTCAGGAGATTGAGTCGGCTCGGGCCCAGGAATCGGCCGCGGGCGTTGCAACTGGATACTGAAGTGTGACGTCACGCGTCAAGATATTCTCGCCGGCGCAACTTTGATAGGCTGTAAACTTTTTTGTTATTAAAGATCAATTGATAATTGTTTCACCATCTTGTTTCATTTTTCCTAAAGTTTAATTTGAGCTAATAATAAAAAAATGGTAAATTTGTCCATTGCGACTAGCAGGGAAATATAATTTATTGAATATAAATATTCAGATGTAAAATAGACGTTTTCCAGTCTTCTGCGAATAAGAAGATAGTTGGTGGAATTAAGAATCTCATCTATTTTCGTACCTTTTCAGGATTTAAATTTCGAAATTAGATGAGAATTACCCACATCTGCTCATTCGATACATCCTGCTATAATTTCTACGATCGCAAAAATACGTTTGGCGAGTGGTAGAAAAGTAAGCAGTCTTTGTAGTGTCTTCTCTAAAAAATTCAGGGCTTGATAAATTGTTGCTCACTTTAATATTCCAATGCAACTCGACCTCATTAACCAGACTACACTGGCTCCATACAGACGTCTATACGACCCTCGCATACCACCCTTACCGCCCTTTGTCGTATGCCACGCATTCACCCCCGATCGATGGCATCCCAACTGGAAAACACCCTCTCCTCTCCGTGCTCAACATCCCCACCACAGCCCGAGCGCTCGGCGGCCATCTTGACATAGCGAAAGGGTGGTGGGGGGTTGTTGATGCAGCCCTTGCTGTGACCGGCCGGCCGGTCAAGCGAGGTGGATTTTTATTAGGTTAGGTTATTCCGGGGATGGAGATTATGGATGATTGAGGTTAGGTTAGGCGCCGGGGGTGGAATAAATGCATGGATAGTAGTAATAGCGTTGGTTTACAGGTTGGGACAATGACGTCTTACCCAAATAGACCCTGCAAGTCATTCATAAGTCCGGCGTTTGTTATGTTCGCGAACCTCAGTGGCGGGAAATACTAACTTTCATTCATAATTTTATGAAATTGGCCCCAGGCTTGGAACAGCACAAGGCTCAAGGACAACTACGGAATTCGCACCACAGGCGTATCACAATGTGGGTCATAAAGGGCTATAAAAGCCAATAAAGTTCTCAGTATATTGGAGGTATAAAAAACGTCTTTCTTGTAGGTATGCAATTAATAAGATGACCATACGTCCCACTTTCGGACTCTGTCCTACTGTTCCTGACAAAAGCCTGACGACATAAAGTGTCCCTCTTTTCTCCATCAAAAAGCATGGGAACGAAATATATCCTACCTTTTCCAAACCATACTGAATACGTAAAATTTTCGAACGACATTGTTAGCAACCCCCCTCCCGTCCCACCGCTCTTCAAACTTTTAATCATCGGCCATCAATGCAAAAAATTAAGTGTGTTTACTCATTGTGCTTTCATTTTATGATTGTCAAAATGTGTGCCTTTTGTGGTAGGTACTAGACCCCAATATAGAAGTGATAAAACACAGTAAATACCTATTTAAGAAAATGTTTATTTGGTGGTTTACATATTTTATATGGAGATCAATCAATGCAAAATAAAATGTTCTTGACATTCTTAATAGGAAATGAGTCAACAAAAGTCCTGCTCCCCCCCCCCCCCTTTCCACGCTCTTCAGTGTGGTTCCCGGAAATTGTCCTGGCATTACCAATGATATAAATACATAAAGCAAAATCCATTACCCTACCCCCGCTCCCCAAGGTCAAAAGGTGCTATTCCAGACTACAATCTATCTCTGAACCCAATTTTATCCATATCCGTTCAGCCATTTTGGCGTAACTGAATAACAAAGCCACATCCGTTTGTTCGCATTTACACTATTATGATTAGTAGGATACGTTCCATCTGCTCCATATAAGGATTTTACCATAAAATAATCATTTATGGGGTGCATGGCAAAAAGATCTTTGCCGATTTTAAAATTAATCTGTAATGATGTAACTATTGGTGTTTGAATAAAACAGTTTTAGTGTAAATGCTCCTTACTCTATCCTTGGTTTCACTTTTTTTTTGATGCTTCTTATAACCTGAAAATATTTTTTTAGTATTATTTTCACCAAAGTTTTTGCATGGCCATCTAATGAGTCATCCTCAAAAAGATGATCTCCAAAATAATCAAATACCTTGGAGGGTATCACTCTATATGCCCCATTAACTATAAAAGTTTTATTAGATTTCTTATTGTTTTATTATGTATGCCTGTCGTTTTTACCTTCTTTACACATGTAACAAAATATAAAATACGGAGTGGCTCGAGAAAATGACGCACGCCACGCCAATGAGTGGAATCGTAAACATAGCCTTACGTGTGAAAAGATATCCCTTCACTTCCTGCTTTGCCAGCCTCAACCTTACACAAAAAACACTTTTATCTCACCATAATTTAAGTCTAAATAACACTTAAAAATACAAGAAAATCAAACGTATAGCACACGGATAAAAGCGAATTTCAAACAAAATGAAAAATGACAGGCGATGACTCACTCTACTACAAGGTTAATACAACCAAGTGCAGCGTTGCCGTATATGGACGTTAATCACAAATATGTAGAAAATACTCTGGTTAGTATTATACCTCGATTTTTATTAAAATTCGCGCATTCTTCACTTG